CAAAGACCATGTCTCGCACCCACACAATAGCCCTTACTGTAGCCGGGTACACGTGACTCTTAAGATCTGGTAATATGCCTTTTTGACGCCACAAGTGACGCAACTTAGCAAACATGGATCGAGTCTTTGAGATTCGCGCACTGACTTCATCAGATACATTTCCATCAGAGCAAGTACATCTGCCGAGGTATGTAAAGTTTTCCACAACCTCCAGTGATTATTCTTGAATTGTAGGGGATACGTTGGAGACCGCACGTTCTGAAGCATGACTTTGCACTTTGAAGGTGCAAGGTGCATGCCAAAAGATGGTATGATGGCGGTCAGTTTATTCAACAGGGCTTGTGCTTCGCTAAGGTCTTCAAAGATGAGGGCGATGTCATCTGCGTACTCCAGATCGACAAGGCTCTCGCCAGCAACAATTTGAACACCGGAGTTTTGAAAACCATCCAGTGTTCGCCTCATTATTTCATCGATGACGAAGTTGAACAAGAATGGGGAGAGTGGGCATCCTTGTCTGACACCACTTTTTGTAGAAAAGCTTTTGGAGAGCTCACCATACACCCTCAGAAGTGTGTGAATATAGAGATCGGATTATGTTTACAAACTTCTGGGGCATACCCTGTTGAGCAAGTGTAGCTAAAAGAACTGATCGATCAACAGAATCGAACGCACCCTTGAAGTCAATGAATACCAGGATTGTGGGTCGTCTGTACATGTGGCGTTGTTCTAACACCTGACGGAGTGTGAAGATGTGGTCAACGCAGCCTCTACCCGGTCGAAATCATCATCATCATCATATACAGAAGACAGGTTTAAAGCCAACTGCCTAAGCAACACCTCACACTTAACCTGCTACTGCCAACTAATTCACGCGACAATCAAAAGGTCGCAGGAGGCTTTGATCCTCTGGTGAAAAATGCTAGGTTTCACATCGATTAAGCGGGTTACGGGAAGCGATATTTTCACATGAGACCATTCGGCTTGGGCGACATTCTCTTCTGACGTTATAAACAACGGATTCGTGTGATCGGCTTACTGATTAAGTAGTTCGATGATATCACAAATTGTGCATAAACATTCGGCGGTTGTTTTGCGTGCTCCGTTATTCATGCCTGGTTTTGTTGATGTTGTGGAATAGGAGGTTGACACATGACATCAAATTATCATGAATCCCACAGTTCTCACTACCTGATTACTCGGCAACCGATTTCAGGATAATCTAGGTAATTCTAAGCAGCCTTCTTGAAATTTCGACGAATAAGGGGGGAACTAGCAAAAGAAACTTTTTGATAAAGGAGCTAGCGAAGCCAGCGTGCATAGGTAAAGGCAAAGGTCATGTAAGTGATTAATGGCACTATGTTAAAAAATCAAACACGAACCGAATTCCTCTGGAGTGCGATGACGGTGACGATAGACCCATATTCGATGAGCGGCGTTGAAATATACAGATGGATCAGATGCTTCTCCTTGCAAGCGATCTAGGGCAGAACTGACACACTGTTGAAGCTGAAACCGAAAGTAAGAGAGAGCTGAAACCCGGAACAAGCCTACAGTGTGTTACAAAAGCACGAGAAACACAAACCAATCACTTTTAACCAGCGAATTATGTGGAGTACGGAGAGGTTCAAACTGTTTAAAAAAATCAGCTGGCCTCCTCCAAGCTGACATATGCCACGGATGGTCTAGTAATGTGATTGAATATGCAATCATGTAGACAAGACTAGCACAATCCCAATCTAATTGCGACAGTCTCACAATGCTTAGAACGGAAACTTGGACATCCAGTCCAACTAACGAACCGGTGTTTGAATGCGTTCACCGCGGCAAACGGTATTCTGAAATACGAGGTACCTGACCTAACGAGCGTAATCTATGAAGTGTGATCACATAGTCTGCCGAGGAAGGGCTACCCTGCCATAAAGCCACTTGCGGTGCCTCAGCAGCATTGATCTAAAGTTTCATTCACATTCCCCGTATTGCTTCAAAGACCATGGTGGCCAAACACGGACCTCGAAGATATCCGAAGCATTGGCCGGCGCCGTGCATTCTATCAAGTACAATTTCGTCACGCGCGTGTTCGCACACCATACCTATGTGGAACACTGCTCGTGACCGTGACTATGGAACGTTGTGTCACGCTCAGTCAGCCAAGCAATCTCGACAAAGTCCTATCATCGTAAAATAAACTATGAAGATTACGGTGGCAACAACTTTGAGGATCATGTTGAATTAAACCGCCATCAGTGGGATCGACCTTCACGAACCCTCGTGAAACTTGTAGCGACCCGGTCACCCATATACTTGACTGTTCAACTCACAGTCGCTCCTGGATAGCGGAGGCTTGTCTTTTTTCTCATACGGACAAACACGTCGCATTAAGCTGACTCATCGGACATCGATTGTCTGCACCGCCTCGTCAGCGTAGCGACCACTCATGTGCCGACGCGCCCACGTATACGCACTGGGACCTACATAAAGGGAAACCGAACCCAGTCAGGACACACAGACTCGCGCGAGCGCAGGGAGCAAGGAGTCAGCCAAGCACTCCAAGTCCACGGACAATCATGGAACACGTGTAGCAGCCATACTGCGAAGAAAACACGTTTCCACCGTCCGGACTTTTACCAAGGGACTCTCACATACGATAAGTTCCCTGTTGACTTGCTCCACATTTAATATTATCCGTTATTTTATACATGCTGCAAATCGTCTCTGTAAACTACTGTCAACCACAGTAAAGACAGTTAAAAGTGCATGTATTTCCTGAGTTGTATTGTGGCCATCCTCAGCTATGCACTAATAAACTCACGCGACCTAAGCCAAGCACACGACATGTGAACTTTGGGTAGGCACTGCGGTTGGGAAATAACATGCACGTCACTCGGATCGGTTGCGTGCAACGTCGTGCAAGGTTTACAACCACGTGCAAGCAGGATCACGTGGGATCCAGGTAGGAAGGCGCGAAGATCCCGCATCAATTAGTTTCGTTTCGCATACCGTGTCTCGGCCTGTCCCTAGCGAAACTTTTGTCGACAACGGCTTGAAATAAGAAACGACTCTTTCTTAGCTAGGTGATTGCTTGGCCCGCGTAGTACGTGCTACGACTACCCTAACTCAGTTCAACCAGCTGCTCTAATGACTGTGGTAGGAAGGAAGCGTCCTCTGGAACACTCAACCAGTTCATTCAAGCCTATGTCGTTCGATGCGACTATTGGAACCGCGATAACCCCAAGCAATCGCAGTGTCATCAGCATACTTACCGGTAACAAACGGGTAGGTCGTGGACGTACTAGAGACAGAAGAACGGCGAGAAAGCAGCGCCTTGTGAAACGCCTACTCAGGTTGGTGGTAATACTGACTTTCGATCTTCGAGTAGGCGATGCACATGAAAACATTTGGATGAACTGCAAAAACATGCGTTATACAAGAGCTTGACTTGTAAATCTCACTCAAGCTTGTTGACAGTATAGGGAGATTTGGAAGGTTCCCTAATAGAGATTCCGTCGTATAAGTGAATTCACTCTACGAGTAAAAGCCGACAGGCACTGCACATCATTTTTATAGGGGATCATGAACAGTGAATATCTCACAAATCTCGAGAGAGAGAGAGAGAGAGAGGGAGTCTAATGCGTGACTTTATAGTTAGCAGCTGAGGACTAAACTCTACGAACGGCTGGTTAGTGTGACTGATACCTGCATAGTGTTCCATGGTTTTACGGTGTGAAATGATTTCATTCCATAGGAAGAGTTGAAACTGCCAAGTTTAGCGAATCATGATTTTGGACATGGCCAGTCAACCAGGTACCTGATATGAGTGCCTCGATTTGCAGTGTGACGAGTTCATTAACTGGGAGTCAAGGGAGTGAGTCCCAGGACAGTATGGGAGCCATTTCAACTGTGCAATAACTGAGAAATAAGGACAATGGGGGGCCAAGAAGCTCTTCAACGGAATGTAAAATGGGGACGCCAGTTCATTCGGAGTGAATACATCTTTTCACTTTTTGCGGGCGAACAAGACCATGGGTATGCCCTAATCCGATGTGAACTTTATTAATATTGTTATAATTTCGAAATGGATGCATTTTACACCAATACCTTGAGCTCCATTCTGTAGTAGTAGTAGTAGTAGTTACTACTGCGATGCGATATTCCTTTCAGCTGTGAGAATCAAGAAGAGATTTTTCCGCAACCCTCTAGGTATTTACACCATTAGCAATCGCGTGGCGATGATTTTCTCCGTGGATACATGGTATTCTTGTCAAAAATATGAGCAGAAGGATCGTGAAGTTGAAGTGACCGTATCGCGAAGAATATCCACAAATACAATAATTAAAATAAACAAAATAAAAGGAAAAAGGAAATACCTTGCGCTGATCAATGAACTGCAGCAAAAATCCACTATTTTGTACCAGGGTTGTGATGTCACCTCGTGTGCCCTCCCCATTGGGCAAACAAGCAACTGCATCACGAACGATTTCCGCAAGACTCACGTAAATTGGCCGGTCAGGTCGTAAAAGTGGGTGGTCACGTGCTTTGACGTGAGTTGATTGATGCAAAACGACCGTAGCACCCTGACTGGCTGCACTTGGAGCGGAGCGCAGGGGTCCGACAACAGATTCGTAATTTTGTATTCGATAGACAAACGGGAGCCACGGTCGTGCGAACCTCTCAGCTTCCTGGAACGGTAAATGCAATAAGCCTGAGGATCTTTAATTCAATGTGTATTGGAAAGCAAGCTGAAGTTCAAACTGATAAGTAAAAACGGAACAGGTTACATGGGATGACAGATCATTCTGATGCACAACCGCACCCGGGGAAGTTTCTCAGCAAGATAACAGCCACGGCGCCAGTCGACGGACTAAGAATCGTATCACCAAGTGCACTGTACTCGATGTGCTACGATCCGACACCCAATACAGTAGGTATTCTCATCTGGTACACGGGGACAATAAGGTATGCAAATCAGTTCAAGGAGGATTGACTTACGTAACAAACACTTAATCGAAACAGTCCATACATGAGCGGAAACTTCTTTTCGTTAATCCTTAGGTGGCTGTCGAAGATACATAGTGTGTGATTGGCTCCAATAGACGCCGCAACATCGGAGGAAAATCTGCACCGGGTTACAGTTATTTGAAAGCGATCCGGAATGCTTGTTTTACTTGAATCTCTTCCAGTAATACGTTGGCGCGATCGATCAAATCCGACTGGCTTGTCTCGAGAACGACACGGTTAGAAATCTTTGAGCAGTAGGTCACATATAGATGGAGCACCGTTGGATGGCTAGGAGCATCATGATGGATGAGATATCCCCAAATCAACGTGAGACCTAGCACGGATAAACCAGCAGACACTAATGTGCTGCTTTAGGTACTTCATCTGCGAATGGTATGCATAGGTGATATAGCAACTGAGTCGCCGAGTCAGAAAGTCGGTAGCGCGTTCAGACTCACATGGCTTAAGGTTCGAACGTGTCTGACTATTCACGGAATGTTTAGGCAAATGCTGAAAGATCAACCTCCTCGTCTAGCCATTTCAATGTGTGTGTATGAGTTTGATTGCCCCCTGCAAAGCAGACCACATTGGCAGAATCTAAGCGTGTGTCAGAATGCACATAATTTCGGTTGACTAAACACTACACGAACAATTAACATCATCATAGGACAGCTTTGGGTGAGCAATCATACGACCCTCACTATCACAGCCTGAGACGGGCACATACAATTCGTTTCCGGATGTTTTATGAAACAGGGTGGGTATCATGCATCCTAACAGGCCGACCCTAGCCTGACTTGAACAAACAGATTCTGTTTCAAGCCGACCGAGGTTCACAAACCCTGGATGGTTGTTAAATGAGTTGCACCAGGCCTTCACAGCTAATCCGCCTTAGCGGTTTCCTCTGGGTAATTTTCTCCCAATAAATATTCTATATTTTGTTTGCTTCAGCATCCTCTTGACTGTTCCTGTTACGATGGAATGCAGTCAAATATTGAAGGTTCGGCGTAGTCGGGTGAAAAATTTACCGTCGTTAATCTAATAAAAAGATGCCGTTTTTTATCGTGCCAATATAAGTGACCTACCTGGGATTGGAATGATATGACTTGTTCCTCAGAGAATGGCTTCAATTTCCAGTTCGTAGGGCTGAAAAGTGAGGGAAAAGCATCGCTTAAAAACTAATGGATTTGTGATACTGTGATCCGTTCACACTTCAAGTAAACGGACTGTATACTGTCTACTCACGAGGAACTTAACGGCCTTATTTGTAAAACGTTTATGTTGACCACACAAATAGATAACACAGGGAGAGGAACTCTTGGTCAACTTTTCATGAAGGTGATGGTGATTGGTAAAACAGTCAGGCGTTATCCTGTCGAGGATGATCCAGTAAGGATAGTGATACGCAGCAACTATTCGGTACCGTATAAATTCAATGATGATTCAAACGAATCCGACCTTCCATTGTTTTCTGTCATGAATTCTTTATTCCTTCTAGTATTTTTCAGTTTCGTGAGCAAGTTTGAAGTCATGGCGAAAACACTAGCTAGCCCGCAGCGGAGTACTGGAATCAGTTCATCAGCGGTGCGCGACTCGAGTGTTGATGGCATTTCACCAGCGTACGCTGGACGCACCCAGAGGCATTTACACGTGAGCGATGTGATCGCTCTGCCTAACGCCTTGGACAGCGACCAAGTAACTGGTCCGGTTACGTAGACCCACCCGTCAGGACTTCCCACTGGGATGGGGCCACGAAACTTGATCAACAACGGGAGCACGGAGAAGACTAGTGGATATACAACATTATGGATTCAATTTGCACCCCACTGTACTCCTCTGACTCACAGTGTCTCTAGGAGGCTTTTCAAATAGCTGTTTTTTTTACTTAAATTGATGGGCCGGGCAGAGGAACAACTTGGATATCGGGACACTATATGCAATCTATCGTGCCTGATCTGATAAAAGTCGAGTAAAGGAAAGTTTTGGACATTCAGAGGATGAACTTAAGCGATATAAAGGCTCCAAAAAAGAGTACAAGGAAACATTTCGAACCGACTGGGCATTCCATCATTCCATCAACCTCACTACAACGATTGCTGAAGATAAATTATAAGTAGTCGCGAGATAATGGACCAGAACAACCAAGGAAGATGAATTACAGTTACCTCGATCTGGAGACCACCATCAGAGATTCCATTCTTTGAAAGTGTATTTAGGACCCTGAAGAGACAATTCTCATGTGACTCCGACTCGAATTTCTAAGCAAATTTTGACCAGAATCTATTCAAGATGCCAAAAAAGTTATCAGCACGCTCGTCTGGTGTACAACCACGGCAGAACGGTACGACGACTGGGGAGTGGTTGGATTTTTTCTCCCTATCGATGTTTACGACAGACGACGGATTTCAAATGTAAACGTTTATATCGGGTAAACAGGAGTCGGAAATACTCTGTGGCTTTCCCTGTTGGAAGTTTTACATTTCGTTTTTTTCCTTTGTGGTCTTCAGGCTCAGTGGTACACATAAAACAAGCGGCACCAATAAGATCAAAAGTAGTAAACTCTGATCGCATTCGAGATACATTATCTAATAGTTTCACGTTTTTCAGTTTCTTAGTTCACTTAATTCAGCGGCAATGAGTTCTTCAATCTGGCACGCCGATACCAACATGTGAAGAAAGAGTAGATGAATATAAGCCATAAGATAGCTACTATATCAAGTAACATTTATCGTACACGGATAGATAGGACACCGATTGTGTGCACTATTGACAAACTGTCACGAAGAGACTACCTCACAGCGGTGTGATGGCTCGTGCACCTCCATAATCCATTGAGCTATATTGGAGGGTGTACGTACTACGATCACATAGCCCCTTATAACAGATAGGTCAATGGACGGAGATGTGACACATTTTCCTGGTGCTCCTGGTTTAGAGTTGGAATATGCGTGGCAACTTGCTCTTTGAAATTTTACGCTGTTCTGACAACCTTACACCAACCCCCGTTGTCTTGCGACTAGGCTTTTGAACAAAAAGTAATAACTGAGGACATTAACTGTCCTCCAGCTTAGGTTCAGGTGCCCTGGCAGTATCTCAACCTACATACAGCCATGAACATTACAGATAAAAGTTCTTTCATTCCACATCTGCGTTGCGTGATGCACCCAGCCGGGGCAGCTCACACACTGAATACAGCAGAACGGATACGCGAACAACTACGAAAGCATTCGGACGAGAGGGGAAGTTCGTGTTCAATCCACGGGCAAAAACCAAACGTACCTTCGTCGCCTGTGAACAGTTAGGAGCATTCATCGACCACGGACTGTACCGACAGCACATTACAAGACGGAAGCTTTCGGACCCATAGTTCGCTGACGGCAGTGATTGGGTAACCTTCAAGCTTGACTGTGCCATGCATTGTCGCCACATGCTACTCGCATGCCCATCAGTAGTATCCGCCGCAATACAGGTAATGGAGGCTCTGTGAATGTCACACCTAGACTCCCCAGTATAGTTCACTGGGTCATTTTTTTTATTGTCCAGCTGTAGCACCCTTCCGGTGCCTAGCTGTTATGTCACACGAAGGAGGCACGAGAGCTGGGATACTGCCAGGTTGCCCAAGCCTAGACAGGGGAAGTCGAGTGGCGGAGGTCGGGTTCGAACCACGGACCTTCCGGTCAGTAAATTCGCGCTCTAACCACTTGGTCCATCTCGCCCACTGTGTTATGGAGATGAAGGAAGCGTAACACCGCTGGCAGGTCTAGTCTCTCTATGATGAGGACAGTTGAGGAGTGCCTACCTATCTTATCGGTAGTTTTACCAAGAAATATATTAATTTCATTGTTTTTCACTCAGGTGAAATTTACCCCAATTTTTTTGAAATTGTAATCTGTCATATAACCCAAGAAAATGTGGAATTAATTTCCGGAAAAGTTAACCCCTCCAGCGGTCAAATGTTCCACTGAACAGTGTGGTAGGATATCAGCAAGTTAACCGCTATGGTGCAGTGCAGTCAAAAGTCAAAACAGCTCAGTCACGCGGGGAGCATGACAGACAAGGGTGAATTTTTGTAAGTCACGCGGTATTTTCGCCCCCAGTTGTTTGCGTAGGAACGTGTCAACACATAAATGCGCTTCCTAGTCAAAATCTATCACGTAGTCATTTCGGTAGTTTAAACGGAACTAGATTAAAATATCATTCCTATGGTTCTGATGGGGACTGTTACCGGACTGGTTACCTATAAAATATGTTCGGTGGGATGCATTAACCGAAACTATTGCTTGAGATACATAACTGACTAGATGGAATATCAGAAAGCAACTTCAGAACGCTCCACAAAAAACTCAACTGAAAAGCCGGCAAGCATCCAGGTCATCAATCATTCCAATCAATTCAGTAAAACCTGATGAGTGTTCTTGCGCGCCACAGAAGCACGACCGAATGTGATCAGCGTTCAGGCTTTTCACAGAGGCACGATCGACGTTGATGGGTGTTCACTAACGCCAATCAGACAGCCTGGATCGTTGTCAGAAAGTCCCCTTTAAATAGCGTGGGGCCGTTGTAACTTTTGCACTCTCACTCACTCGCTTGTTCGGAATACAGCTGTTGTGTTCCCTTCTGTGAGTTTTTTCTCTCCGACACTAGGCACTGGAGCGGGTCAGCAGGAGATACCTCAGATTGGCGAATCAGCAGATATAACATGGACAGACTGAAATAGCAAAACCTGACAATTTAACTAATATAATGCTTCAATAAAAGTACAAGAACCATGCACGAGTACCAAGACATACCAGAATGGTGGTGGTACCGTCTCATCCAAAATAACGGTTGTCCTTTGTAACTTTCCTTGTCGGTATTTTGGATCTGATATTTTAATCCCACGGACCAGTTCGTTATCATCGGACTCAGAAAGGTCACCAGTAATTCGTAAATGTCCCGAGTCATCAGTATCCCCTGAATCACTGTTGACCCTGGAGACAGCACTTTCGGTCAACTCGACTCTAGCTTTGCGACGACGGCGGCCGCCTCCGCCAACAGCGGTAGCGCTAGCAAGCCACTCTGCATCTGCCAAGCCGCCAAGGCCACGCGGAGCGCGCAACCATTCTGTGAATAAGTCAGCTAATTCCTTCGCTTCGGCTTCAAACATTACTAATTGAGCGTTGCCCACCGCTGATGTAGCTGTAGGTGGAGCAAGAAGCCATGACCACTGATGTACACGAGGCTTGGGATCAACGAAAGGTCTGGGGCAGACAAGACGCCGTGAAGAATGCCGAATGACACCAGAAGAAGAACCAGTACTACTATTGGGTATTGCTTCAGCGGTGAGAAATTGTAGCGCAGACGGAGTGATTGCAGACCAGTCCTCTGCCTGTGAAAACGAACCAGAAAAACAAGAACAAGACAGTGAATAAACTGCCAGATGCGTAGTTTCTAGTTAGCATCCCACTCCATGATGAGAGTTAGGTACATATATGAACCGAGAACTGAGGTATAATTTAGCAGGTGGGAGAGATTTAGATGCAAAGGACAGTGAGACTATTAGAGCAGATAAGCGCCAACAGTTAACTTTATTCTCGTATTTGACTCGTGTACTGGGAATTACACAGGCCAAACTCCAAAAAAACTCAAAACACACTGAAAACGCACATTTATCGTCGAGTGGGCTGAATTTGTGGAGTGAAGATTAATTCAAAACTTCCCTATTTCAATAGCTTACATTAGTAAGACAAAAAACGTGGAATAAGATAGTGCGTCCATACAGTATCGGATGAATGAACGACACTGGAGGGAGATAGTAACGATATGCGAATCATTCCATTGGAAATCGTCGCAGATTCAAATTGCGTATATATTGAGCTGAGTGCTTTTAAAAAACACATCGAAATTGAGAGTATAGTGAAAATAACTCACACGGCTGATCCAGGTCCAGGCTCCTCCAGCACGTTGCAACCTCAAGCCCATTTGAGTTTGCCACTCACGAACGTATTCACACAACTGAGCAGTGGTTAAACGCCGGCGTTCGCCGCCTTGCGTAAGGAACCCACGAAGAAGACAGAACAGTCCGTGTTCAGAACTGTGAAAAAGGAGACAGGGAGATAACAATTGTTATCAACACTGCAACTTCTGTAGCAATCCAAGAAGTTATAGGAGACTCCTGGGAACAACCGTTTAGAACAGGTGTCTCTTCTTAAAAGCCTGGGCAACCAGGAAGTAAACATTTTACCTTCGCATTACCTGGTAATGAGGTCTATAAGAATATCTATAGGTAGTCTCCCCTAACAGCGCGAACGCCAAGCATCAGGATACAAGAAGTCAACTAACTGCAAGTTAATTCACTAGTAGAATGGAATGTGCCCGGTACGTCTGCTTAACATCAAACACATTTGCATACCGCGTACGAACCAAAAACTGACTACAAGTCGCCTCGACATGAGTAATATATAAACACCTATGTTTTCACGTAATAGACGGCTTTCCATAACATTAATGGCAGCCTGAGACTGACAGAGGCTCAGCTGTGCACTCAAACGGGGATGAGTTAGGTTCTATCTTTGCCCATTCTGCTGCGAATGGGTACGCCTAAGCCCCAACAACTACCTGCTAGCAATACATTACGTTATTCTGCAACGTCCTTTCTTTAGTTGGTTAACCCTTGTCAAGGAACACTGGTTCACAACCGCGAGTCGTGATGCCTCCAGAGATCCCGGTGCTATGCTTGTGAAAGTGTGAAGCGCTTAAGGGGTCATTTGGGAGTCATTCTTGTAGACAAAAAACCAAACAGTAATGCCCAATCCTTTATGAACGTGGAGAGACGGATGTGTTAGGAGTATAGTTGACCATTAACAGAGAGAGAAATGTCTTAAAAGTGGACATCACGGAACAGTAAAAAAAAGGACTGGCGTTTCATACAAACGAATGGATTGTCCGCCAATTCGAGATTAAGTTTCAATCATTTATACCGGGACGGCAAGCAGCCCCGTTAACCCAAAGGTGTGAAGAAATTGCAGGGGTATCCGCGAACAGCATGGAACGCTGAAAGGAACCCCTCGAAAGAACCCTACAGAAGTTATATATAGTATTCTCTGCCATGCAAATATCTTCGAGAGACTTCAGGATATCTCCCCGACAGGGATCTTTGCTCACGGAGAGTGAGGGTAATACCAGTCGTATCGGGCGCATTCTGCGCTAGGGTAATGAGATTCCAGTTGTACTCCCGAGAGTTTTAAATAGCTTTTTCTAAGCGTGCGATGCAGGCGGAAGTATTCGATACTCAAATTACACCACACTGACCACATTAGTGTGCACAGTAAGCATGTACAGCGCTTGTACCATACCCTATGGATGGAAGATTTTCGTGCCAACTTGTTAGACTTGAGTCAAATCACAAAATGGAAGTTTCTGACGAATATATATTCCAGTGTAACAAGGGAGTTTTTCAGGTTCGTTACCATCCATCGGCACTTTAGCTGTGATGTGTGCCCAGAGAGTCGAGGAGAGCCTAATAATGTCATCATCAACAACAATTGTCAAGACAGCATACTTACTGTAAGGCGATTCTAGCTGCTAGTTTCATTCGCCGACAATCTGAGGAGGTGGGATAGACAGCTGCGCATTAGAGGCGGTAGTGAATTAATTGTGCTAGTTTCATTCGCCGACAATCTGAGGAGGTGGGATAGACAGCTGCGCATTAGAGGCGGTAGTCGAATTAATTGAGGCACAGATACAAGGACTTCGGTGGACTTTTCATCGGGGAGATTGGGAGCAGAGCCACGCATTGAGGGCAACAGCTTGGATAAACGAACCCGACTGGATCGTAACGGAAAATGTCTCGGAGTTCCCATTTAGGCAGACGGCAATGACTAGCGAAGCCGAGTTTGCTGGAAATGGTTTTCATGTCTACCTGCCAAGTCAGCGTTTGACTTCTCAGGCACTTTTCCACTTTTGTACGGCCGTACGAAAAGAGCCTTTCAATGAATTCGGTCGACTGACATACGGAGCACGCAACTAAGCAAGCGCAATCTATGAATCGTAATCAGTTCATCTATCGTGGACAAGTTATTTCTTCCGAAAACTATCTGAGGTACTGATCGGATGTTGCCACCAGACTGGGACAACGCTACGAAGACAAACAATCTAAGTTTTTTGACGTCTCTGGCATGCAGTGGACAGGTTTCTGATCCACAAAATAATATATGGCGCACCGCAGCATTGTTAACTTGGCCCTTGACGAACACGCTGATGTCAGCTCTTCTTGGATCTGATACCGTGGTAATACAATCAATACTAAATAATCTAAATAATTCTGCCTCAAGGTTTGGCATGCGCTTAAAACCTGCTAAGTGTAAAGTGATACTGCAAGACTGAGAAGGCTCGAATCCTAGCCTCATGTTTGCGAATGAGTCGCCTGAGATAGCAGACGAGTTTGTTTAATTGGGTAGCTATATTAGTCCCGCTGGCCTAGCACAAGATGATATTTCCATCCGGATTGGAAAAGCCAGAACAGCTTTCGTGAACCTGCATCACCTGTGGCGTGGGCGTGACATCAAGGGTCGAGTGCACAAAGCTGTGATACGATCCATCTTGCTATACGGGTCGGAAACGTGGCCGCTGTGCGCCGAAGACGTCAAAAGTCTTTTAGTGTTTGACCATCCATGTCGGATGGTATTCGAAAGGAATAACTCACCCACGACCATCCATCATTCATCATCATCATCATCAGTGCTGACAATGACGCTTCACTGCCGTTCGACCATAAGGTTCGTCTCATTACATTTAAAGCCCTAAAATTAAAGTAAGGGATAAAGATTGGGTGAAGGATGGGACCTAGTGCTGACCTCCGTCAAGCATTCTGAGGTGTCTAAACCCCCAACCGCCCCATCAGACAATCTGAAAAGGAACTGACAGCACGAACGCCACTGACATCGACTAGCCACCATTTCTCGCAACTTCAACCCAAGCATAGGCGGGATTACAGGGACCTCCTCCTGGAAGGCGTACAACACCAACAACACCCAAAATTTTCGTGATCACTTTCACGCCCTTCTTCCAAGTTATTCGTTTTCCACCTCGCGCCTTTCTGAATGAGGCACGGAGAACAACACTGGTCTCGCTAGACGGTGTTTCAGTATGCAGAGCACATGGCCCAGCCATCGTAGACGGTCACGCTGGATGTCTTCTGTGATTGAAGTACCTGCCACACAACCAAACACACGTTTTCTAATCAGCCCTTTACTAACACGCTGACGCGATCTGCGTGCTCCAGATCGACAACGTTATCAGCAGCAAAAAATTGAACACCAAGGTTTTGATAACCTTCCAGCGTTCGCTTCATTGTTTCCATCAATGACAAAGTTGAACAAGAGTGGAGAGAGTGGAGATCTCTGTTACACGCCGGTTTTGTAGGGAAAACTTTTGGACAGCTCACCATACACTCACGCAGCCAGAAGTATGTGAATATAGAGATCGGATTATGTTCACAAACTTCTGGGACATGGCTGTTGACCAAGTGTAGTTAACAACATTGACCAATCGACAGAATCGAACGTACCATTGAAGTCAAGGAATACGAAGATTGTGGGTCGTCTGTACATATAGCGTTGCTCTAACACCTTTCAGAGTGTGAAGATATGGTCAACGGAGCCTCTACCCAGTCGAAATCCCGCTTGAGTCTCACCACTTCGCGTGCCACTGTACAACGTCAAATAATCAGTGATGTCAGAAGCCTTGTCACAACGGGAGTCAAACTAACACCTCTATGGTTAATACATTCACTGCGGGTACTCTTTCTGAAACTGCGAACTACTATCGATTCACCCCAGTTGTCTGAGACGGCCTCTTTCCTCCAGATCGATCCAAATAGGATAGACAAGCACTGGCTGAGAAGCCCACCGCCATCCTTGTAAAGGGCACAGGGAAGGGTGTCACGACCAGCAGCACGATGCCGCTCGAGTAGAGAAAGACACTCGGACACTTCGAGACCGAAGACGCCTCCATATTCACGGCCCGACTTTCTGCTGAAGGCCAGGTTTCTGGATTGGGGGTAGCAGGTGGCCAGCTGAATTGCTGTTCGAAGTACTGTGCCCAGCGGTTCGAAAGTTCTGCTTTGCTGCATACCAGGGCGCCATTTTGATCCCTGATCCCTTTGCTGACAAGGGGAACAGCTTGCGCTCGTTTTCAGCATTCTTTGCATCTTCCATTTCTTCAGCTTTTCGGGTCCACCAAGCTTCTCGGTCTGCACGGACACTCAGTTTCACTTGGTGTCGGATGATGCGTGGGGTGGAGTTGTGATTGCAGCCAGGAGGAGTCTGTCGCCGGGTCTTCGGCAAAGATACGGTCTTGTCAGAGATCCAGTGTTTGGTGGTTCGCTGGATTGTACCGCAAACAGACTTTCAGGATTTGAATAGCGCTTTGGATATTCTTTTTTCCCAGTGGCCGTTTCCATCCGACACCGTACCGTGCGACAAGCACTCGAGGAGCTTGTTCTGATGGTTTCGTTTGATTTCTGGGTCCACTAGCTCCTCAATGGCTAAACGAGGTATGTGCGTTCTGCATGCACATGAAAAGCACAATAGAAAGCAGCAGCGTATAAGTGCACGGTCGGAGTCCACAATGGTGTCCCAGAAGGAGCTGCAGGCGGTGATCGACCCTCGCTACCAATAACTGACGGTGATTGGGTCTATTTAAATTCGGCGCTGGCTTGTTGGTGGGCACCACGTTGCCAAGCGATTTCCGCTGTTCCGGAAATTCGTACTGCAAAGGAACAGCCTGTGATCGGCGCACATCTGAAGTAAGCGGTCTCCGTTGTCCGTGCGTCTAGTGTCCAAACCAAGACGACCACCCAATCCGACCTCAGCAGCGCTTAGTCTACCTACCTGGGTGTTCATGTCACCAGCAACCACAACAACACCTTTTAGCCAGCTGTAGATGGGCACCTAAAGCGTCACAGAAACTGTCTTTGGCAGATTCAGAGCTACAGTCAGTTTGGGTGTAAGCAGACACAATAAACAAGGTGCGATGAACCTCACTTCCTCTAGATTCTCTCACCGATGTTGCCAAACGAACCGCACAGAGGCGACTGTCAACGTGTATCCAGTCAAGCAGGGAGGCTCTCGCTCAGTCGCTCAATACAATACCCACCGCAGCATTTCCAACTGCAGCGGCCTGTGGATCACCAGAGGTGCGCAGTCGGAACCTGGAAGAGGGCAAGGGGGCAGTCAGTTCGATCACAGTACTGGTGTCCTGCATCGTTCTTTCTGACAGAAAACATAGATCAATACAGAGGGAATCCAGCGTACGAGCAACAGCCACCTGTTGACTTGCTTGTTTCAGTGTGAAAATATCAAAGGCGGCTAAGTAGACAAGCTTTCAAGATTTGAAAACAGACTTCGAAAGCATTCAAATTTAGGTTGTGGATAGTGGAAGACGGAAAATGTGAGTGAAAGAAGGGAGACGTCACCAGTAGCATGTTTCCACTTACCCGCCCTGCTGTATGCAGCAAGTAAGGCGACCCAGCTGATGGCGCCATGCGACGGCCGATGTGGTATGAGAGTATTGTTAGCTGTAAATGTCATCGTTGTATGAATGCTGGGATACTGCCAGGGCACCCACATCTAGACAAAAGGACGATTAGGGTCGTCAACCAAAGCCTTGCGCTCAAGAGCCTAACCGCAAGGCAGCGGTGTAGGACTGGAACACGTCGGAACACGTCGCCACACATGTTTAAAGCCCCAAACTGGAGGGTCAGGAGACTGTTCGTCAGACCTCTAACCATTGACCAACCTGGTATGATAGACTCTGTGAGTGTCGCGTGGAAACCCCCGAATATAGCTTAAGGGGTCTCTTAGGTACACAAACCGCCACACGACGGTAAGGTCGTCTCTTCATGACGGACTCACCCGCGACAGATGAACTGGTCACACTGCATAGTTTGCGCTGGCTCGGCCACCTGCCCCATATGCCAGTCGGTGGACTTTCTGGAGGGTTCATCATCATCATCATCATCATCGACAGCACGTCATCATTGTTCAACACCGATGCTTCACTGGCGTATACTTTTGGGGAACCACGAGAAGGGTGGAAACAAGCCAAACAATGACTTGGCTGAGAAGTATGAAAGCTGTTAGCAGCGAACTCAGCTGCGATGGTCATTGCATTTTGTCTCAATGGGGACTACCGAGACGGGCCACAACAATGGTTGGAGACATTGTCAGACATCGCGAAGCCGTCGGTGACGCTCATGCATCTAAGCTATTGCCTTCAATGCATAGCTCTCTTGCCAATCCCTCATTTAAAGGTCCACTGACAGACCTGTATTAACACACCAATTTATCAGCTCCCGGCTCCCATGCACAGCCACCTACCCTGCCTCCCAATCATCATCATCATTATCATCATCNAAACGATCTCGTGGATTTAGAAAGGCTTTGTTTTCTTCATTGTTAATAGATGGCAGGATAAATAATCCACACCGGTCAGACAAGTGACAATCAAATGACCCAACGTACCATGAAGGGAGACATCGGTACGAGCAAATGACAGTTTCTGGTTGGCCGAGCCGAGGAAGTGGGTTTAGTTGAGGTACCCCACCTAGAACCTTTGACTCAAAAGTCTGACGCACAAGGCAGTAGGAGTGTGTAGAGCTTTGTTTGAGGCCCATTCCCTGGACTCTGACTCAAAAGTATGAACCGCGAGTAAGTGGTTTCTAGAATTTCCTTAAGGGATCCCTCCCAATGACCCAATAGTCTGACCTGCTTGACCGCAGGGGACAGCCTAACCCGAAGGCGAAGGTATTACTGTCTTTACTGATGGGGACACGCACAGCAAGTTCCTTTTGAGCAGCACCAGATTCTTTGGTTGTAAAAGTATTTTAATCGTACTGAATGATGCGCCGGTGGTCACCGTCAACCGTTCGGCGATCGGAGTGTGCGGTTTCCAAGGCCGACCTTTTCTAAACCCTCTCTCTTTGGGGGAAAGTAGCATCACTTCTTCCACAAAAATGGATATGCTGGTCACCTGGGGAAAACACCTTATTGCCTTCACACTACTATCTCAGAGGACAATAAAACTTTATCCACCAGACCGCCTTGTAGCATGATTACTTGTAGTGCAGGGTCTCGCTTCTCTCGTTCTGACTGCTCGCCTTTGGCCTTTCTGGCATGGTTGCAACTTGTGGAGCGAAGTTCCAGACAGTGTAGGCCGCGGCCTCATTGTAACACTCAAGCCAGACCACAATATCAAGTTGACGACTTTAGGTCGGGACAGACTGACTGTACCTACAGGACAAAATCATCATTGAAAATTACCGGATCTCCTCACAGTAGGAAAAGTCTCAATGGACCTCAGAAGGAAGAACGTTTCACACGACGGGTGAAACTTTAGTCTGAGAAGTTATCACTCGAAAATCCAGCCAACACGTGACGTGGATTCCGGATTAATGAAGTCATAGCCTTTCTAAGTGCGAGTTTATCACACTGCTGATCAGCCGCTCATGCCTGCACGTTCGCGGGAGGTTGCGGATTCGAAACTCACTTGGATTTGGTGAGATGCATGCTGCTGACAATTCGTAACAAGGATGAAATAGCTATACCGTGCTTCTCGGATTTTCAGTACGGAATGAGGTCGAAAATTCCAAAATCTCACCACCAACAAAAATTCAAAGCACATGAGTGTAGTCCGCGAATCGGGTTCAATTCGAACGCAAGGTTGACACAAGCTCGGGGAGTTCGCTTAACAGATGGGCACAAAAAGAAAGGACACTGAAATAAGATCACACCAATATAATGTGATAAATGAGGCATTGGTGTAAAAGGTTCAAAAGTTTACCTTGGCCAAATGATGCCCGGGCCGGTTCGAGAGTCAGTATCTCTGCACCATTTATCACTCCTCACTGGTGGCCGGCCCAGCCTCCGTGTTGCCCTACGGACGAAGCCCATGGGCTTCAGAGCCCGATGCGAGCGGCTAGAAGGCACATCTTCATCCATTCCTTGATCACCAAGCCGTTCGACCTGAACTCGTTTTACTAAACTGTAAACAGTCGTTCGTTGCAGGGTGCTGAGTGCCGATGGAGATGGTGTCGCCTCGAGTCCGGCGCGGTGCTCTCGAAGTAAAGCGTGCACACCTAGAGATAGAGTAGAAAGGAAATGCGCAGAAAAGTACAGGGTCAGTGTTGAGTCTAACCTGACCTTAGGATAATTCCCCTATTCAGTTGCTTACTCCACCTACGTACTTTTGATCTCCAGTTGTTTTGCTCAACCGTACCCGCGGCAGACGCCGTCCCGTCCGACACTTGTTTATTGGCATGTGTCTGTGTGAGGGCCAATTAGCCGCATAATGCTCTTAGCTGAGAAACCTTTGTGGGTGGAATAAAACTTTTTACGCCGAAATGTTGCATTTCGTTGCATATGGGCTCAAACTACAATCCATTCCAACCTACAGTCCTATTTCTGCAGGTCACCAAATTTCATTGAAGCAAACAGATCTCTGGTAGAAAAATCTGGTGCAATAATTTCCAGTGGTCGCTGAGACCCCAGCTTGTCTGTTTTAGTCCATCAGGGACACGTCGTAGCTTTCGAAAATTCAATTCCATTGTGCTGAGGCTGAGCGCAGTTTCTGTGTGAATGTGTGCAGCTGGCCTACTTACCCATTGGTGTTCGTGTCCATTTGCTGGGCCCCTCTTGAGTTGTTTTCTCACGAGTTCTATGTCAACGGACGGCTGACGAGAATAGCGAGTGTCGTCGGAAGGGACGACCGCAACCCACGCTACTGAGCCATCATTCCGCCCGCCGTTGTTTGGTGTGCGGACGCTGATGTGGTGCCGGCCGATGACAGACCTGTGCACCTGTTGACGCTACGAAGGTAAACACTTGAGGTTTTTTGTACACACTTGCTTACCCTTGTGTAAATAGTACCGTGGAATTATGAGCCCAATTATTCCTTTTGAAACTCGAGGCTGTGGAACCTACGCGTCACTCAAAGCTCCGTATCGGGAACCTCAACAGTCAGGACTAGGAACATCGTGAAAGGGTCAGTTACGTTCGTTATCACTCACAAGAACACACTCGTGAGACTGACCGAAAGGGTGCGATCTGCGATGTGGACGGGTGAAGACGATTAACACTGACGGGTGTGGGTTAGCTGCGATTAAGCCACTCTGGTAAACCAGTAACTGCGAACAAACGGTGGCTGTATCACCAAGGTGTGATGCCTTCTGGACTAGTCAGTGGGTTCGCTATAAAAAGCCGTACTTACACGATGACGCTAATGAGTCAAACAGTCACCTTACCAGTTATGTAAGCACGGAGAAAGGTGCGACAGCTGCGGCAGGCTGAACTTGTAGCAGGATCAGCCGCCGTCACCCCAGGAAAATATATTTCACCGGGTTGTCAGCGGCTTCTTCCTAGCAGACGTCATGAATAACGTACGAAGATTCAATTGGCAATTTTGGCGCTTACTGGCATATGTGGTCGCTACATCCAGCAGCAACGGGAATCTCCTAGGCTTCCCTGCTATTACAAGGCACTTAAGTCACTTTCAGCACTAGTTACTCCCATGTACAAAAGAGAATCAGTCACATAGTGAGAGATCTTTGGAAATGCATGCATTTTAAGCATGTTGGACGGAATAAGTTACTGAACTTAAGCGTACTCTGCGGTCTGTTTGCTACCAGGAAGGATGACATGCTTATCCGAGACTTTCTCCCGGAAACAGTTCAGTTCAGTCTATCAGCTATAAGCCATGCTTCAAGGATACGTTGGTTCCATTTCGGTTAGTAGGAAGTGGAGCGAGGAGGATACAGCCAAGCGTTAGATACGATGATATAACCAGTAAGATCCTACCGAGGCAGCGTAGTTGTTTGAAAACTGGGAAACTGCGCAGCACTGAAGACAGTAGCTTCGAGCACGAGCGTCAGTGATTGCGTGATTGGGTCATCTCTGTCAGTGTCATTAAACACTGAGGCTGAGCGCAGTTTCTGTGTGAATGTGTGCAGCTGGCCTACTTACCCATTGGTGTTCGTGTCCATTTGCTGGGCCCCTCTTGAGTTGTTTTCTCACGAGTTCTATGTCAACGGACGGCTGACGAGAATAGCGAGTGTCGTCGGAAGGGACGACCGCAACCCACGCTACTGAGCCATCATTCCGCCCGCCGTTGTTTGGTGTGCGGACGCTGATGTGGTGCCGGCCGATGACAGACCTGTGCACCTGTTGACGCTACGAAGGTAAACACTTGAGGTTTTTTGTACACACTTGCTTACCCTTGTGTAAATAGTACCGTGGAATTATGAGCCCAATTATTCCTTTTGAAACTCGAGGCTGTGGAACCTACGCGTCACTCAAAGTTCCGTATCGGGAACCTCAACAGTCAGGACTAGGAACATCGTGAAAGGGTCAGTTACGTTCGTTATCACTCACAAGAACACACTCGTGAGACTGACCGAAAGGGTGCGATCTGCGATGTGGACGGGTGAAGACGATTAACACTGACGGGTGTGGGTTAGCTGCGATTAAGCCACTCTGGTAAACCAGTAACTGCGAACAAACGGTGGCTGTATCACCAAGGTGTGATGCCTTCTGGACTAGTCAGTGGGTTCGCTATAAAAAGCCGTACTTACACGATGACGCTAATGAGTCAAACAGTCACCTTACCAGTTATGTAAGCACGGAGAAAGGTGCGACAGCTGCGGCAGGCTGAACTTGTAGCAGGATCAGCCGCCGTCACCCCAGGAAAATATATTTCACCGGGTTGTCAGCGGCTTCTTCCTAGCAGACGTCATGAATAACGTACGAAGATTCAATTGGCAATTTTGGCGCTTACTGGCATATGTGGTCGCTACATCCAGCAGCAACGGGAATCTCCTAGGCTTCCCTGCTATTACAAGGCACTTAAGTCACTTTCAGCACTAGTTACTCCCATGTACAAAAGAGAATCAGTCACATAGTGAGAGATCTTTGGAAATGCATGCATTTTAAGCATGTTGGACGGAATAAGTTACTGAACTTAAGCGTACTCTGCGGTCTGTTTGCTACCAGGAAGGATGACATGCTTATCCGAGACTTTCTCCCGGAAACAGTTCAGTTCAGTCTATCAGCTATAAGCCATGCTTCAAGGATACGTTGGTTCCATTTCGGTTAGTAGGAAGTGGAGCGAGGAGGATACAGCCAAGCGTTAGATACGATGATATAACCAGTAAGATCCTACCGAGGCAGCGTAGTTGTTTGAAAACTGGGAAACTGCGCAGCACTGAAGACAGTAGCTTCGAGCACGAGCGTCAGTGATTGCGTGATTGGGTCATCTCTGTCAGTGTCATTAAACACTGATGAATTGAGTTCTTATCAGGAAGGTCAGATTCCTGAAAGCAACTTCAGAACGCCCGGAACCTACTGCTCCACCAAAAACTCAACTGGAAAGCCGGCAAGCATCCAGGCCAG